ATACTGGTCCGTACTGGTCTGTACCGGTCCATACTGGTCTGTACTGGTCCGTACTGGTCTGTACCAGTCCATACTGGTCCGTACTGGTCTGTACCGGTCCATACCGGTCTGTACTGGTCTGTACTGGTCCATACTGGTCCATACTGGCGCAGGGGGCCTGTGCATCGCCCAGTCCATCAAGATCCCGCGGGAGCCGCGCCCGGGCGAGTTCGCGAAGGTCATCAGGCGCCTGATGGAGACGTCGACGGCGCGGGGGGTGGTGCTGTTCGCCAACGAGGACGACATCCGGTGAGCCCAGCACGGACCAGTACGAACCAGTACGAACCAGTACGGACTGGTCCTGCCCCGCACTGTCCCAGTCCCCCACAGCAGCCTCCCAGTCCCTTCCCAGTGCTCCTCAGTCCCTCCCAGTAGCCCCCCAGTCCCTTCAGGTCCCCTCTCAGTGATTCCTTGTTCCCCCCAGTCCGTTCAAGTCCCCTCCCAGTTTGTCCCAGTCCATCCCATTAGCCCCCCAGTGTTTTCCAGTCCCTTCCAGTCTATTCAGATCCCCTCCCAGTCCCTCCCAGCAGCCCCCTGGTCCAACCCAGTCCATCCCAGTGTTTCCCAGACTCCCCCAGTCCCTCCAGGTCCCCTCCCAGCCCCTCCCAGTCGGCCCCAGTGCCCCCAGTGACGCTGTCCCCGCAGGCGGGTGCTGGAGGCGGCCACCTTGGCCAACCTGTCGGGCCACTTCTCCTGGGTGGGCTCGGACAGCTGGGGGGCCAAGATGGCCCCGGTGCAGGGGCTGGAGGAGGCGGCTCACGGGGCCATCACCATCCTGCCCAAACGGGCCTCGGTGCCAGGTCAGTCTGGGGGCTTTGGGGGGCACTGGGGGGACTATGGGGGGCACTAGGGGGGCTATGGGGCCACCCTATGGGGCTGTGGGGGCACACTGTGGGGGAGGGTCCCATCACCATCCTGCCCAACCCTCAGTGCCTGGTGAGTCTGGGGGCACTGGGGGGTACAGGGGGCTCCGGGGGCACCCTATGGGGCCGTGGGGGGAGGTCATCCAGCCCCATGTGGGTGGGGGGGAGGTGTTTGGGGAGGGTCCTCTCACCTTCCTGCCCCTCCATTGCTGCCCCACAGAGTTCTGGGACACCTTGAGGGGCTGCAGAGCCCCCCGGAACACTGAGGGGGGGCAATAACGCTGTGGGACAGCCTGTGACCCTGTGGGGTCCCTCGTGACACTTGGGACCCCCCGCGACCCTTTAGGCCCCCCCTGTGCCCCGGGTACCCCCCTGACCCCTTGGCCCCCCCCGTGCCCCG